TATTTAAAAAGCTCTTTTACTCCGACGAAGGACTAGCGTCCGAAACGTCATTAAGTTTTTTCATCTTTTCACGGTGTATAATTTACCTTTTCATTATTACTGTTTCATTAGAAACACCGACGCAGCTCACACTAGTTTTTAGCTAGTTATATCTTCTGAATATTACAAGTTCTATGAAGTTCTCTAAGACCGTTCAAAAATWAACTAAACTGTAAAAAGAGCAATCGCAGTTCTACATAGGAAGTTTTTAAATGCATAAAGTGTTAAAATTATAAATGCTTAAGTCAGTTGTGATTCCAAGATCAGAACACAAAATAAAAAATAAAATCAGTATGAAAATTGGGAGCAAAATTACAAATATTTAGAATAATATTTTTGCCATTTCACACTCTTTTTTTCCTTTTTATCCTTCCCATTTTCAAACCGCAAGATCATTGCGGTTCGCACTTTAATAAGATGTCATCACTAATTTATCAAAAGTTCTAATAACTACAATGAATTTTTTAAGCTTTGAAGCAATTTTGAAGAGAATAATCAATAAATAACTGATTCAAATGTAATTTTAATGTTACGCACGGAGACCTTTGATCTCATAAATTGACTAGGAATTCTTAATCTTCGGTAATTGATATTTAATTGATTAAAACATTCAAATAATTTCTCACATTTGAACGAAACGCATCCGTTTTTTAGTTTGTTTCTTTGTTGTTGTTTTTTTTTTCTCTTTTTTTTTTTTTTTTTTTTCCTTTTATTTCTTAAACAAAATCATTTCCAAGCAGTTGCCTAACTATTCTTCTAAACTCGGTAATCATTATCAGACTCTGTTTCCAGACAACAATTATTTATTACATGCAATCGGTACTTCACTAATGAAACGCATGATCAAAGCTCATGTAGCATCGAGAAACACCCATAGAACAGCTAGAGTAAGGTGTGTCGTACCTCGGGAATAGTAAACGGATCTAAGCTCACTGATAAAAAAGGCGCAGGTATTTTTGTTGTGCTTTTTTCAAATAATCCTGCAATTCATTGTCTTTCTTTCTTACAAATTACCTCCCACAGAGTTTGGTAACACTTTATTACAGTTTACTTTCAATACAGAAATRGGCGAGCAGTAAAACTATATATCTATAATTATGCTTACAGACTACTTCCTTTCATAGAATAAACTTCGTGTTCTAGAGTGAAATGTAATCAAAATTGATGCTTTATAAAGAGACGCCCTAGTATTCAATAAAGATATAAATATCTATATGCAAACTTGAACAGCCATACTCTCAATATCTCTTAGCCATTGCAACAACTCCACGCGATGAGGTTCTACAATGCTTACAACTCGTCTAAAAATCTCTAGGGAATTTGTAGTTTGCTCTTAAATGATTTCAAAACAGTCATAAATAAAGAAKTTAAGGCTGTGAAAAGGATTCTAGAGGATAATGGCTGCGGTTATCCAAGCGATACATGATGAAACCAGTCATGAGGTGTAGGGAAAGAAAGCCTAACCACAATCGATAACACTTTATCTGCTAAAAGCCATGATGCTAAAGTGGTTCAACTTTAACACCAAAATGGAACTCCGAAGCCCATTTTTAGAACCGATTCGCTTAATAAATCATTTAGATATCACGTCTGGAGTAAAATGTATTGCCAAAGTAAACGATCGATCTCAGCTTCGTTTCGTGACATTATTAGAAAGGATTCGAAAACATCAAAAAAGCAAGGACTACGAAAGACAAACTTACCAAGTAAAATCGACGTTTACAACCAGTTTTTTCGATGATTACGATATATAAGCATCTGTAAATATTTCTTTATTTTAAACGACGCCGAGTCTTAGGATAAACGAGCAATATTTTCAAGCAATCAACGGTAAACTTATTTACAACGAGCAAAGGTGTAGTTTTGTTGCAACATTTTCCTCCTTACCTGCTTTTACTGACATATTTTTGCTATTGAGAGAACRAAGATCAAAGTAGCCTTCTACACATGGCCTCAAGTATCAGCCATTACCGCTATGCTTCGTATTTTCATACTCCGTGAGCTCATGCATAATGGAATAATTTAAGTGGTGTTTTGCTCGCAGACCCAAGTAATTTTTCATGAATTTGTCTGTCACGGTCAAAGTCGTCACTCCACTTCAAATAAAACAATCACGGACGACTTGACAAGGATTAATTTTCCTCAGCAAAAACAGGAAAAAAACAGCTCGGAAATTTGAATATTACAAGCTGAAGACGAAGGACTAGCGTCCGAAAC